ACTTGTGGTACGGAATTAACTGAGCTGTGCTTTCTTTGAGGGATATGTATGTGTACATGGATATATGCATATAGAGAAAGAGGTATGTGTGTAGCAATGCACATAAGTAGTTATACATATATACATGTACATGTGTGTGTGTTTGTGTGGATTTTGCGCATTGCATGTGAAAACTCTAAAACATGTTGAAATCGGTAAAACTGGGGAATGGCCGGAGTTGAAAAGCATGGCCCTGTGGGGGGGGGGGGGGGTTCGGCGCCGGTCCCAGTGGCACGGCCAATGATGAACCCTCTGCGCTATTTGCGGGGTGACCTTCAACAGGGATCCTTACATTATACACCTGAACATTGCCTTGTAAATGGTGGTTTCCCTTTATTTTGGTGGAACATGTTTCAAATGGGCAAAATGTATCTTTTAAGGAGCCCTGTGCAAACACTGGCTTTTGCGTTTTCACTTCGCTCGACCAAGCAGTCGACCAAACTCTTGGTGGCTCCAAACAGCTTCGCGCTTGCACAGCCATCGCTAGCTAACTAAGCTTAGCCGGCCAGTTCACTGCCTGATTCGCGGACTAGCTGGCTGAGTCGGCCACGATCTAACCATCTACTAGCAAATTCACTTGCTCACTTGCCAACAAACTGGCAAGCTCTTAACAGCCAGGAAACTGACTTGATCACTTTTAAACTAGCTAACTAGCTGGCTAGCACTACTAGCTTAAATTGACTTCACACGCACGCTTCAAAAGAAAGACACCAAAAAGACATGCAGTGACAAGAAAACACATCCCAACCTATAGCTGCCTGCTGCTTTTAAAACGTCCGTCCCCGGCTTCGCAAGCTTTTCTGGTAAGCATTGTTAGAAACTCATTACACTCCCTCAGACTAACATGGAAGCTCCCCTTGGTTGCTGCAACGACCCCCCTGCTGTAACTGTTTGGGGGGATTAGTGAAAAACTCCTTTATTTCCCAACAAGTTAAAGTCTAAAGATCCAACCCAATGGCAGTCAAGCCCAATTGGCCGATCCTGTAATTGAAACCCAAGTCTTCCATTTCCGTGTCCTGGAGCTTTCATGCGGAGTGTGCCTATTCCAAATTCAGCTGTTAAGCCGCTCAAACATGACCATCTGCAATTTCTACTAAAAAAACAAAAGCTGAATTAAGGGATTTTCAGGTAAAGGACCTTCGTCCTGACTTTCGCTCGTTATTCCCCGCTCATCGCTGGCTCGCTTTAAGACCATGACACACATCTACTAGGTCCTCCAGTACAGAGCTTAGAATAAGGGTACCCTTTTCTTCTGTAGTCTGTTTTAGTAGGCGAACCCTCCCCCGCAAAAAACGGGGAGAGGAGGGCACTACTGGGGGCCCTAGTCTACCTCCACTGCACGATGGCCCCCGGCCCCCGGCCCCCCGGTCCAGGCAGATCACGGTGAAGTCCATGAGGTTCCAGGCATCGCAGAAGTACCTAGGCGCTCGCGCAAGGTCGCGCGGTCGAGAGCGAGCTTCGGACACGCAGTGATCGGTTTTTGTGGAAGCGGGGGGGGGGGGGGGAGGGAGAGCAGGCACAGCTGCAGCAAGGGCAACCTACAACCTGGTATAAAGAATTCTGGATGGATTCGAGGGGGGGGGAAACAAAGGCAAACAATTCAAACAAGTCAGTTGCCAGCTGATGACTGAAGAAGGCTGGGTCAGCCACTGGAACAAAAACAAGGGTGTTTCAACATAGGTGAGCCCTATTCCGAATCCATGATCCGTAGTGGGGCAGGCACCACGGCAAGCAAGGGCTACTACCACCAGGCACAAAGAATTCTGGATGGATTGCGCACAACGCAACAAAAGCTTGGCTGGAATTACGAACCCGGCAAACAATACATATTTGGGTTGGTGAGAACCCCCAAAAAAAGGCTGAAACAGTTACTTTAAAAAAAAGAAGAAAAAAAGAAACACATCAGCGAACAGGGAGCAAATTCTGGGGAAGCAAGGCGGAAGCACCCCGGCGCTCGATTTTGAAAACCCCGGGCCAAGCCACTTCCAGCGGAGGACGTAGATCTTCACCCCCGACTCCAAGCAGTAGATCAGCAGGAAGGCCATGCTGAGCACGGGGATCCACTGGGGCACCTCCCCCGCGGCAGTGGCATCCGTTTCCAGGACCACCAGCCTGGGACCCGGAACCACCGGAACTCCGAGGCTCCAAAGGAGGCAAAGTTCCAAGCAAACCATCCCACATGGAGCCCACTGACTGGAGCCCACATGGAGCCCACTGACTGGAGGTTCATGTTGGAACTAAAGGAGGCTAGAGCTGCGTCTGGGCTCTTTGCACAAGCTCGATTTTGGGGGGGAGTGCAACCCCGACTTTGAGACTCAAACCCGCCCAGGTTTCAATTGAGCCGCACGATGTTGCAGCAAATCACCACCCCCAGCGCGAGCTCCACAGGCCTGCTCTGCAGCACCCGCCTCACCTCGGCATTTCTCTAAACGCACGGATCTTCAACAAAAAAACACGTTTTCGTCCAATTCCTGCAAGGGAAGTCAACAAGGGAACCCAAAAACGGAACACAAGAAAAACCCCGGGAACAAACAAAGGCTTTGAAGGGAAGCCAAGTGGGTTTTGATTTAGACCAGGTGAATCGCCCTAGTACACTCCGGGTTTACCTGGCTTGGTCGTGGATTTCGTGGGGGCTTTTCGGAAGGAACCTGATCCTAACTTGTGAAGGCAAGGGATGCTTAAGGCTAGGTCCAGTAGAGAGGCAGAATAAGGGTACCATCCTTTCTGTAGTCTATTTTAGTAGGGGAAGCCTCCCCAAAAAAAGGGTACCTGGATAATCTAGAAGGGGTCATTCCCTCCTCTAAGCAGCAAGCAACAGAAGTTTGGTGAAGTTATTGCTCCCGCATTGCTTGACTTGTTTGTCCTTGTGCTCCCCCAAGAAAATAGGTGTGGTTGCTCGGCCAGACTTAAACCCTCTGCAAAAGGTGAAAACTGTTGGCTGTCTAAAAGGAAAAATAAGCAAGCAGAAACCAGAAAAGGCAAAAGTTAAAAAAGGTAAGGTAACGAGGAATGAAGGTCAACCCCTTGTGATGCCATCACTCCCTGGGAATCCAAAAAGGACCTGGGCTCGTCTTGTCACCTGCCTGCCAAATCCAGCCCCGACCAGCAGATCTTCAGTTCACGCGGGTTGACGACTCCCAGTCACCACCCGAAATCCCCAAGTGGCAGCTCCTTCCGTGACCGGATCCTTTTTCTTGCTAGTGCTCACTAGGGAATGAGGGGATGAACCCGGGGATTCCTGAAAAAAGGAAACCACCAGCAGGATGGCTTGGCTCATTCCAATTCTCATTCGCTGCATCTGGGTATGGGTCAAAATTAAACCGCCTAGGGGACCACTGGTTTTAGTCCATGTTTTCAGTTGTCAGGACCTATTTTTGACCCACAGCCATCTCTCGCACCGCTCGCAGGTGGTTTTTGTTGGTTTGTGCAGCTCGATCGAGCCGCGCGTTCCCGCAAGGTATCCGCCGGGACGGTGCTGGACAGCGTGCGCACCATCTTCGGCGCCTTGGCGTCCGCCATGGCGACGCCTGACGGAGCGTGTCGGAGCACCGAAGAAAGACGCGACACTCACTTGGCCAGAGCCCAAAAGAAGTGTACACTCTTTGGGCCACCACTCGTAAAAAGGGAGAGCCACCAGGGAAAAAAGTGCGAAGCGTGTCCGCTGGCTGGAGGACATCTCTGGCTATGAATTTTACCATTGAACCCCCTCCAAAGTGGCTGGTGGACATAAATCCCCACCTTTGTTCATGCTTAGCAAAGGGCCCATGATCAAAATTCAGACACATTTGGGAGGGTTGTGGAACAATGGCTGGCGAGCCTGGGCGAAAAGGACCAGAATTTTTGGCTTTGGACTTTGATCCACGAGTTGCCAAGGGGGGGAGGGTCGTCACAGTCAAGCCCTCGCAAGCAACCCTCCCAAGCTGCTAGCAGCATGGCAGCTCTGGCTGCCAGATGCAACCGTACAGACACACAGAGTGTCTAGCCAGGGAACTAGAACCTGGGAAGCTGCAACGCCAGGAATGCCGCAAGTGGCACATCTTCACTGCACTCCTGTGTCGCACGCCACTTGCCGACTCGCCGACTTGCCGTGCCTCGAGCGCCGAGGAAAAGAAAAACCGTCAGGTGCTCGGGCGATGGAGGCAGCTGTGCTTGGGCGCTGGCTGCGGCACGTGACAAAAATGCGTGAGGTGGCGGCTAGGTCGGGCGTCGGGCGCCGGAGGCTTCTCAGGGCGGGGTGTGTCTGAGGGGTTGAGGACCGCCTGTCGTTCAGCTTGCCTTAGGACACCTGCGTTGTCATTTGACAGCTGTGCCGCCCTAGCCAAACTCTCCACCTGACTATGTCTTCCGCACACATCAGTTGCCAAACAAGGCAACCTCAATTCAAAAACTCGCACGATGCGAGCTGAAGTAAAATAACATTGTCTGAGACCCACTCTGCTTGCCTCAAGATTGAAATTGTTGGACTTGTGAACGTGAAAACCCGGGATCGAGAAAACAACAATAATGCCTGCCACTTGGCCTGCTCCCAGTTTTCACACGGCGCTAAAGCACACATGCTTGCGAAGGTGGCATCTTGAAACGGCCTTGCTTGCCAGGCGAACTGTGCGCCAACTGCTGGCATTCTCTCCCATAAGATGAATAGAGAACATGTCTGTCATGGCCTACCGTCATCTCAGCCCTTCAAAAGACGAGCCTTGCAGTACACAAGAGCGAAAGAGCTGGCAGCCGTCAGGGGATCACTGGATGTCCCCAAATCCACAGTTACACTCCCTCCCACTAACATGGCACCTGACAGAGGGTTCATTGAAAAGGACATTGATCTTCCAGGTGCCGATGCTGTGTTAGTGGGAGGAAGGGCGATCAATTTACTGGCGGGGGTTCCCTTGAAACGACCGCTTGCGGATGTGCCACACAGGGAAATGGCACGGAAACCCGGGCCATCCCAGAACCAACCCAGCTTCCTCCTGGGCCAAGTCCGTGCAGTCGCCTCGCGCGTCCCAAGTCCCAGACCCCGGTCACCCGACAAGTGCGCCACGGAGTTTGCCCTGGAAGTTTGCCTCCCCCTAGCTGTAGCATGCCTCCTTCATGTCTGTTTTTTGGGGGGAAGGGGGGGGGGGTGGATGTACAAGGTCGCTGTCAGAGCGGGATTGCATGGGCCAGGGCCAAACCCAAGCGCGCTACCCATGTTCAACTACTCCATCCGAGCTCATTGACCACAAACATTCTTGCCATAGTCTCTTGAGAATGTCTTTGGCTTTGCTGCTGACTTGCTTTGTCTTCCAAATGAGGTGGCTTCGCTGAGCCGAACAACTTGAAGAGTTTGGCACATGACCAGTTCCCTTATTTCGGAGCTGGCAAATGGCAACGCCGAATCACGGAGGCTCTTCCCAACGTAGCAAACCAACCACACGGTTGCAGACTCCGCGCTGAGCGGCTGAGCGCTGCACGTGGCGAGTCCACGGCGCGGCCAAATCTGCCTGAGTCGCTGGTCTCTTCCCCCATGCCAGCTGTATATAAACACGAGCCTGCGTGCGACCGCAACGGGACCACTTACGTGCATGAGCTAAATGGGTCAGACATCTGAACCTGTCGTTCCCTGCGACAAATGTCGAGTGTAGATGCGAGAAACTAGCGAAGTGAGGAGATGTCGGGTTTGAACCCGTGGCGTTAAGGTCTCACATCAACTCACTCACCACTACCCTCAGTGGCACTTGGTGATCTCCGGTTTGCCTCAAGGACCCATCAATAATGCATCGGGCCATTTTCGGCCATTTTCGGCTTGCAGCACTTTCTGGGGTACAGTTGACACCAAACAGGTTGGAAACATGGAACGCCGTCTCGGCAAACAGTCGTGCTGACCATCCACCAACTTCAAGCGCAGCAGCTTAGTCAAGCCAGTTGTTCGGTGGGATGGAACGGGACCATTTCAAGGGTAAAAAGCCATGGAAATTTCACCTGGCCTGCCATGGCATGGAGGGCAAGCGCGAGCGAGCGAGCCGCCGCCGGCGGCAAGCGAAAAGGGCTGTCAGGCAGGGTCCAAGAAAGTCTGCAAGCAGTTTGGCACATGGGTGTTTCTCCAAATTAAGCATCAGGCGGTTGGTTGCAGTTCCTTGGCCTTCAACCTTACTTAGACACCAACCGCTAGACCTACCTGAGATTCCCAGTCGTTTGGGCAGAGGCCATAACTTAGCTTGACGCTGTCTGAAAAGCAAGTGCCAGCTAGGACAGCCAGAGCAAGCTGCACCTTGCGGTTTCCCATTTCGGAAAACTCAAAGGTGCCCTCTGTCTGTCATGTATCCTGAGGAGTCCTGGGCTGCCCTCAGACCCCCTGCTAAAAGTGAATAACTCTTAGCGGGTTAAATCGCCAATTTCACTACACCCCAAACCTAAAAAGCTAAGGGGATGGCTGGGAGCCACCAAGTATCAAAACTAACTTCTGAGGTCCGCCAAAATCTGCGTGCCCGTTTCCCATGTCCAGTGACTTCGCCGGCCTCTTGTTGGCTCGGGCCACGGAGTCAAGGCGAGCGCTCAAGGCGAAGGCCACCAGTTCGGATCTCAAAAAGTTGGACCCCATCGAGGGTTTTTTTTTTTTTGAGTAGAGTGGTGAGGATAGGGGTACCCGATGGTTTTCTCTTTCTTTATGTTTCTCATTTGTTTCTTCTGTAGTCGTTATTTTGGTAGGGGAACCCTCCCCTAAAAAAAGGGTAAAAGAGCACTACTGGGGGACCTAGCCGTCCATCATGCTTCAAAATGAGAGATGTCCAGCCACCTCGGCTGGAAAAAAAAATCGCTTCAATTCAACTCAAAAGCCTTGCACTTGCTTCCCCCCTCCTCCCCGGGTAACCAATGAAACAATCTGCCCCGCTTTGACGAAACCCCCTTTGCTCACCTCCTCATGACCTGTGATTCTTTCTTTCTCCGTTTCTGTTCTACCTACCTGTCTGTGATGTGCTGCACTAGAATTTCGAGAGTTGTTTTGCATGCCCACGGCGGCATGCATGTTAATTAGGGACCCGACATGGTGGACATCAAACAAAATGGTGCGGATTCACGGCCACAAACCAAAAAATTGGAGGTGCTTCCCCAATGAGAAAACTCACAGCCCTTTGAAGAACTTCCGATGGCCTGCTGTTCTCCCGGCCCACGGCCGCCACGGCCCACGGGATGCGCATGCGATGCAAGCCTTGACCGGCTCGGCCTTGATCCGGTTCTGGACCTGCGAAGCTTCGACCCGGCTTGACGGAGCTAGTTGCACTGGGGCAGTAGACGGCCAACAACCAACCAACAAACAAGTCCAACAACCAACAGCCAAGCACCAAGCACCAAGCAAACACAACAAGCCAACAAACAGCAAAGAAGTCCAACAAACCGCTAAACCAACCCAAGAAACCAACAGAGGAGCCGCTAACCGTTTCAAGTGTCTGCAACCCGGGCACGGGCTCTTGAGTCACCCCGGCTTACCCCGAAAGCAGCCTGTCGCCAACTGAAAATTCGAGAAGGCGGGCTTTGGTCGGCACCTTTTCTCCTGAAAGCTATTGATGCCACTGGACCTCCACTGCAGGACACCTCGGTCTGCTGGGTGTCTGCCCGTCGTGGTGGTCTCACTTACATGGGGGAGGCCGATGTGGTGAATTCCCTGCAGGCTTCGGCAGCCCCTGGCGTTGGAAAAAACATCTTCAGCTGGCACCTCAAAAGGTTAGAATGGGCATGGCATCAGGAACGCCTAACATGATCCTTCTTGCCAAGTGCATCGAACTATACCTTTTAAATTCGCCAGAAGCTGGGTGGCTCGTCCCATGGATCAAACACGAGGGCCCTAAGCCAACTTGAAGTCGGTCGATTGGATTCCAAGAAGTCGTACGGTTCGAACCCCGGGACGCGAGCCAACAAGACCAAAAGGCCTGCGCGGCCGATTCCCCGGCGGTGTATACTTGGTATATGGCCGCCATGTGGATCGACGCCTTGCGGATCCAGGTCGAACCATCTGGCACTGTGGCCGGCAAATGCCCTAGCCATCTGTCCTGGGTCCTGGCTGATTCCAAAAGAGCCCTTTGTGGCTCAAACCGATGACAATGACGACCATCTGGGATCTGCTGTCATGGTCTGAAAAGTCGGGCCATTAAAAGCTGACGAGTCACAGCATCTTTCCTCGGGCCAGAACCTGGCTCCAGGCATTGCGAGTCGTATTCGCGCAACAAATCGCCGCGCGAATCGCCGCGCGAATCGTCGCGCCAGTCGCGCCAGTCGCGTGGCACCTTTGCCATCGCATTTCATCGCCTCACGGAGAATTGAATGTCTTGGGCGGCGGGCGGCAGGATCAAACAAACAACCTCCCCAGCTTCTCCGAGCTGCGAACTAGGAAATGAACGAGAGCACTGGTGCTCTGAACGTACATGCCTTGTCCAGCCTATCCCAAGACCGTGCCAATGGCGAATTGTGTGCCGCTTGTTGCAAGGCTCGGCTTCCTGGCCAGGCTTCGACATATTTGTTTGCAACACCAGGCAACGTACAGCGGTCCATGACACCTTTGGCAAGTCATAGGAAATCATGGCAACGAAGCACCCCTCTGGAGGCCGAGCTCAGGGAAACTACCCATGTGCAAGACGCACGTCGGGCCCGACACTGTTCAAATGCGCCATGAAACATTGATTGACAAAAAGAGGGCAGGGCTCACCACCCCCTCCCTTCAACCTGGCAAGCGGCCATGGCCACATGCCGGCAAACAGAGTATGACGCCTTGGTTTTAGGCCATGCAACATGCACGAGTTCCTTTGAAGTGGCTGGGGTGGGGTGAGCCCTGCAGTGCAAACACGGTGCCAGTGTTGGAGCGACAGGAAACAGGGGCTACATTGGCACCGTCGCCGCATCCAGAAACCTTGGTTGGCATTGTACGTCGGAAAGGCCATCGTGTCGCGTGCAACTATCGCTGGCTGCCAAAAGGGGCAGCTACTTCGAGGGAAGCTTGCTCCATGGCCTATCGCGGTGTCCTGTTTTGAAAACTGCCCCAAAGCTGAAGGGGCCTGTTTGGAGCATGGTCGGGCCTTTTTCGCGAACCCAAACGCCGGCCGAGTGGCAAACACTGGCACCCAGCGACGTGGGCTAGAGCTAGTCGCGGCCGTCCTCATCTGATGTCCTGAGCGGGACGGTGAGTGGGAGGCGGATGTGGGAGCACCCTTGTCCGGCAAGCGTTCTGCTTCCTCGCCCTTTGCTTCAAACGAATCTCTTTTGCTTCAGGGACGCTCCCCCCAGGCATGCCCTACAGACCGCGATTTGGGTAGCCCTCTCATTTCGGTCCTAGCTGTTTGCTCATTTTGGTCCTAGTCAGCTGTTGGGCCGCTTTGTTCAGCCCGCCCTCGCGAAGTTTGGTTGTTTCTAAATCAGTTTGGTCCTAGTGTTCGCTCATTTTGGTCGTAGTTATTTTGGTCCTAATCAGGCAACCTGCCAAATCAGATCAATCAAACCCAGTCAAGCATGCAGAAACAAGTAGAAGCTAGGACCCAACCGAGCAGAAACTAAGACCGAAACGAGCAACAAATCCTAGGACCACAACCAGTCGAGAAAACTAGGACCGCGCCGATGCCGCAGCAGCCGATTTTGCTTGCACCGCGACGGGGTCTCGCTCTGCTTGGCAGAGTGCGGCGTGTCTTTTGCCGGACGCCAGCCTGCAAGGGCTCATATCCATGCAACTAGATCCCCTCCATCACTGACCAAGGCTTAGGCTCATGTGACGGCTGGAGGCTTCCTGGCCCACCCTTCCACTTGAAGGGTGGGTTTGATACAACTTAGTTGTGAAACAACACCGGTTCACTAAGGCGCCGCTCCTTTTGATTGGATATGACAGCTGAATTCAGTCAGGCTTTGGGCTTCGTCTAGGGCTTGGCTCGCAACACTTCACATGTCGCACAACACTGGCGCTTCCTGACGGCTGAATGGCCCTTATTATCTAGAGCCTGTTGCATCTAGGTTGCCAACAACTCAACAACCAGCTCCAAAGAATAAGAGAAACTCTCCGAGCGGCGCCCGTGCCAAAAGGCGCGCAAAAGCCCCGTCCGACCGGGGACGGAAAAAGCGGTTGCGAGGCGGCCGGCCACCTTTAGGCCAGTCATCCGATGACCATCTCTTTGCATGTGCTGGAGCCTGCGCACCAGGGGCGGGCGGGCTTTGGCGCAACTGACACTTGCCATGGGTGCTAACTTGGGGACAATGTGGGAACGGCCAACCCAGCCAACTGGATGCCCTCATGCTTGTGCCAATGGAGATGCTTTCCGCTTACCTGCCCAAACAAACCCTTGTGCACCACCCGCGGACCACTGGGGTGCTTGCCTGGTCGGTGGGGCCAGAGGACCGCTTGCTGGTCCGCAAGGGTCACATCCTCGATCACGTCCACGAAGCGTACGTGGAAGTCAATGACCGAGATGTCGTTCAGGTCCTATGGCTTTGATCTCCCGCTGATTGGTCAACTGTTCTTGCTTGTTGTTCTTTGTTGCTCTTGAAAAACCAATCTTGTTGTTGTTCTTCGTCTTCTTCTTCTTACAGAAGAGACCCTAAGTCCACATCATACCGGGGGGGGCCATAGGGGGGCCGGGGGCTTCGTGTCTTTGCTTGTGGTTGCGGCTCCTGGCCGAAAGGGTTCTCCAACTCCTTGGCCACCTCGTTCAGGCACCAGAGGCTCTCGAAGAGAAAGAAGCACAGCACCGGGCCGATCACCGGAGAGCTCGTGAAGATGATCACCTGATGGCTCCCCTCTCAGCGGAGATCCGCATATACTGTGGATGGACAAAACCCTGCACCACTTTGAAACCATGGAAACCATTGTTCGTTGCCATTTACAGGGAAAACATAATTCCAGGGTTTCTTAGGTGGTGCAGGATTTCGCCCATCCACAGTACTTCTGGTTGGCACCGTCCCCTACGCTTCACTTACTCGAGTTTACTTCTTTCACAGCTACTTTGAAGGCACCCCGAGCAACAAGTCAACTGAAGAAAAATGTGCCGACTAGCGCACGTCAGGCAGGTGTTCCTTGTCTCAAGCAGCCGACTCGATTGGCCGCTCAGCAACACCCTCTTCGCGTTTTAACTAGCAAAGAAAGCTGGATTGGGCCCCAAGAAAAAAACAAAAACCAACAAAAACACGGGCGGCATCCGTTTGTCATGTGGTTCTGTGGCTTTTGTTGAGTGCTGTGGTTTCTTTCCAACCCCTGGTGACCTGGTGGCAGTGGAAACCATGCCCACCCTGTCATTCCGAAAGCCTAGCGAATTATATGTTGAGCCATGGTCTCGGTCCTTATCTCCACATGCTCAACGTGCAAAGCGCCTTGGATGAAAACATATTTGCATATATATATATATATACCATACATACATATATACAGGTGAATACATGTCGTTGCAAATGGAGGTGTGCATAAATCAGCATGTAGATATATGCATGTATATACATATGTATATATATATATATATATAAAGTTAATTTATGGTGTGTATGTATGTATGTATGTATGTATGTATGTATGTATGTATGTATGTATCTATCTATGTATGGCATGGCATGGCATGGCATGGCATGGTATGGTATGGCATGGTATGCTATTGAATGGAAACAAATGGAAACGAATGGAGTGGTATGGTGTGGTGTGGTGTGGTGTGGTGTGGTGTGGTGTGGTGTGGTGTGGTGTGGTGTGGTGTGGTGTGGTGTGGTATGGTATGGTATGGTATGGTAGGGTGCGGCGTGGTGCTGTGTGGTATGGGTATGGTATGGTATGTATGTATTCTTATATCATGCAGTTGCTTAAGGTTTAATTTTCAATGTATATCAAGGGTTCGCACTAGCGCACAACATAGAACTCGCGCAGAAGACTCACCTAATGGCATGCCAGTCCAAAATGTGGCATCAACCAGGCATGAAAAGATGACGACGCCTCGCGCCCCACATCATCCAAGTGGCATAGAAGGGAATGAGGCAGGAGAATGCGATAAGCAGTAGCCCCAATAGCTGGGCATAGGGCAAGGGAAAAGGCACATCTGCAATCTTCAGGCAGTTGTAGAACCCCAGCATGCCGTTCGACAGCTCCTGATACATCCTGCCAATCGAGCACGTTCGCTGGAAACGAAAAACACAAAAAGACTCGAGCGATCATATGCCCAGTGCGCCTGGTCCAAGTCAGAAATCTGCATGCTGCACTAAAGCACATCGACTCTGAACCCCCCTCGCCCCCCAACACCCATTTAAGTTGAGGGATGGTGGGGCTCAATTCCCATGAAGCTTACCTGGATATGTCCTAGGTCCTCCAGTAGAGAGGTTCGAATAAGGGTACCCGATTTTTTCTGTAGTCTATTTCAGCAGGGGGGGGGTGAGAACGGGCACTGGGGGACCTAGTGTCCTTTAAGGCTCGGAACCCCTAAAAACTCAAAAGTAAAAGAAAAAGCCAAGGCCGAGGCTCCGCCTGGCGCGGCCGATGGCTCCCTCCCGATTCCCCGATTCGCCCCGATTCGCGCCGATTCCCCGATTCCCGTCCTGGACTGGATGGGCGGCGCCACCGAGAGCTCTGAGGTGGCGTCCGCCAGGTCCCAGATGATCCAATACATCACCGTGGACACCGTGTCCTCAAGCATGGGGCGCCGGAGTCTGTGGCTTTCTTCTTTTTCCGGTAAGGATTTAATTGTCAACTTCCCCAGAGAAGGCTGGCACCAAAACAGCTGGGGTCTTCTTTTTTTCTCGGGCCCCCAAGGATTTGATTGTTAAAGCCCGCCCGCCCCCCCCCAAAAAAAAAGAAAAAAGATGAACAATGCGTTGTACATGAGTCTGTCATTTGTTTAGGGTGATGGTTTTCCCCCTTGATTAACTACTGATGTGTTGTTGTGGTTCCCTTGATTCTGCTGCTTTTTGCGGGTTATTTGTTTGTTTCCTGTTGATGTCCTTTTTTTGGCTCCAAAAAAGGGGTACCCTCAAAAACAGACACACACCAATGGAAGGTCTTGAACTCAAACTGCTCAGAGCCGATTGGTGGGTCCAGATCTTCAGGGCTGGCCCAGAAAAAAGGCAGCTCACTCAAAGGAGAAGCCGAGAAACCCGGTGGGCTCGTTGACCCCTGACGGTTGTGAACTCTGCATCCCAAAGCTCGCCCCAACGTCCCCCCCGATTTTTTGTGGGCCAGGGCGCATAGGTTCGAGAGAGGACTCGCAGCTGTTCCTGGGTAGGCTTCTCGAAGACCACAAAGACCTGGCCAAGCGCCAGCCGCTACTTTGGCACGGCCGACAGGCAACCCGATGGCTCGACACCGCGATGGCTCGACACCCCGATGGCTCGACACCCCGATGGCTCGACGCCGCTGACTCCCCACGGCTCGACGTGCGGAGCTCGTTGGATTCTGGCTGTCTAAGTTGGAGTTGCTAGGTACTTGCATCTAGGGATGCAGCCCTGGCCACCTAGGTTCTAAGTTTTAGGCTTCAAGTCTTGTGACGAGTCTGACGTTGCGGTAACACGTCTCAAAAAACATACACAGTCAAAGCTGTCGGGGTCGTTGGGGTAGACTTGGCCTATTTTCCGTTGCTGTTCTCAGCAATGAGGAAAGGGAGGGGAGAAATAGAAACATGCATGCATGCCGAGTCGCACGTGTCCATATGTTTCAGATTGAGATCAGAACTATGAAAACCCGTTAAACCATAGATTCGTAGTGTTTATGAACTTTGAATACAGGAACGATTCGTGTTCATGTGGTTCACTGCCGTTTCCACCTGGAAGACTTTGACATATACAGCATCGAGAAAAAAAAGGTTGTATAACATGAAGATTGCAAGTGTCATATGTTACATTATTCTGTTGAATCGGGAAAAAAACAAGAAATGACAACTGCCGTCTTCATTGCTTCTGATGGATGAAAAGGAAAATCAGAGACATCTACAACATGTTTTGCACTGTTGATCATACAAAATCAAGCATAAGCCAACACATCTGCATTTGTAATTGATTAAAAGTCCAATTGTATAGCTATAGCTTATAACGTATGTGTAAGACAGATGTGTAACTCTCAACGTGTGAGCACTGCGTATAAGTTAGACAACTTCCTAAGTCGGTTTGTTCTTCTTGCAGCTAGACTTGCAAGTCTAGACGGGGTGGCTTCACTGCGGCTAGCCAGGAGGAATCGGAGCACTCGGTGTGATTCTCTCGTCCGGCTTTATGCCCCGCCACGCGTCTGCGAGTCTTCACGTCTTCGGTGTTCCTGTCTTCTTCTCGCGCCTTCGTGTCTTCCGGCATCTTCGCTTCTTCTCGTGTCCTCTCACGTCTTCTCACGTCTTCTCGCGTCTTCTCGCATCTTCTCACATCTTCTCGCGTCTTCTCGCGTCTTCTCGCGTCTTCATTTCGCTTTTGGACAACAATTCTGCAAGCACGATGCTCGTTTGGAACTCAGTGGTGCTTTCGGCCAACCCTGAAACTGGCGTGTGTCAGACTTCGGGACCAGAGATAAAGAAACAAATGCTGGAAACGGGATCCAGCTGCCTTGTCATCAATCTGTGCGCGGTTAAAGTCCTTCCTCTCCACGATGCTGGGCAAAGTAAAGCCTTGGAAACAAATCAATGCGGCTGGGAGTCTCCATGATTGTGTGACCAGCGCTTGCAACAAAACAGCCACATTCATGAGCCTTTCTCTCGACTCACCAAGCCACCCTTCCACTCCTTGTCCACTCTCATCGCCGAGCGTGATCGGACTCGGTGCGAGTGTACCTCTTCCATTCGCTGGTTGTCGCCGTTGGAAAGGCGATCGGCAGCAAGCATGCCTTGGGAATGCGCGATAGCCGAACATGTCCTGACAGAGCCCTGTCTTTTTTATGAATCCCTCTGCAAACCTCTCAATCTTGGGCTCCCTAGGGAGGAGATGCTTCTGCGGTCGCACGTCATGGGGGGTGACAAGCTCACTCACAGCCAAGCAAGCCCGAAGAGCCGGTTTGCCTTTTAAAACGCAGTATGCAGCCGCCCCCAACCTTGGGGGTGCAGCAAATAAAACAAAACGTGTATATATATATATAGATGTGCATATACATGCATAGGTGCAACGCAACGCAACACAATACAACGCAGTGCAAAGCAACTCAGCGTAACGCAACGCGGCAGCGCAACGCAGCGTAACGCAGCGCGACGCGACGCGATGCGATGCAACGCAACTCAATGCAACGCAAGTGAATGCAACGCAACTGAATGCAACGTGATGCAATGCAATGCTATGTAATACAGTGCAACGCAGTGTATGCACATATATCCATATATGTATACGTATCCATATAGGTATGTATGCATGCACGTGTGTATGCATGGGTCTGTATGTACCACTGCAACGTAAAGTAAGTTACGGTAACGTAACGTGATGCAATGTAATGTCATAGCATGCACTGCAACGTCAATGTGCTGCAACGTGATGTAACATAATGCAATGCCATGTGACGCGTTGCAATGTAACAGAACCTTATGCAAGGTAATGGAGCGTGGCACTATACGACTATATGTGCACAGGTATTAAGTGTTTGGCGGCCATTCTGCGACCCTTCTCAAGCCCAAAAAAAAAACTACAGCTTCAACAAAGGCGCTGAGCAGCGCAAAGTTGGACTTAAGCCGGCGCTGCTTCTCCTGCATGTCCTCCATCTTGTCCTCGTCGCCTTTCCGCTGGGCTGCCCGGATGGTGACCTCTGGGCAAAAAATGCTTGAACTGTGCCGCTTCGCAGTGTGATGGCTGCTTAGGGGATGTGCTTTTTCCACAGAAACCGAATTGTTGCTCCCATGGCTGTGAAATGACCTTTTTCCTCTGAAGTTGGAGGTCCCTATGACCATTCCGTCGCTTTGAACCCCTGTTTTCCGCCACGAGCATTACCCACAACCTCCCCACAGCTGGGAAATTTCAGTTGCCCTACCCCCAAGCTACGTGCGCGAAGTAGGTGCCCCCAGCTGAGCCTCTTCTTTGGCCCTGAGCTTGCAAGAGGCTTTCGAGACCCGGTTCCTGTGGGGGGGAGAAACACCTCATGGCCCCGAAGGCTTCTAGCGCAGACTCCGTGAGAAAAGCGGGGCAAGACATCAAACATGATTTGTTGTGTGCGCTGCTTGCGGAGAGTGTTAAATGAGTTCGATACTTCCCTGACTCTAATCTTCCGCTAGCAGAATGCCGTGGCATTACCTCAGTCAGACGAAACCGTTTTCGAAAGATGCTTATCTTAGCAAGTACAATCTGTGTGGCAGGCGTGGTGCAGTCAGGTGTCGCCTTTTTACATCTATAGAAATAGTACTCCGCTTTCCGGGTCAAAAATTGACCGCGCACGCCTGCGCGAAATTTATCTTGTAGGGTTATAGGGGGGAAGGGCTGTAATCGGCCTGACCTTCGAGTCACGTGAAGAACCGTTTCACTGTCCACCTCATTCGTGACTGGAAGAGTTCTGGAAGAAGCTCCATTCAACCAATGTGGAGTCCCCATTTCCTTTGACATCCCGAATTCTTGGCCGGCAGGACACCGAACTCACAAACTTGAGATGCCCCATCGAAAAGGAAAGGCAGGCGCCTTGCAAACCCTGAAAAAAGGCTTCGTCGGCCTCGGAAAAGGCGTAGAACTGCGAGAAGGCGTCCGCGAACTTGCTGTACATGAAGTGCAGCTGCGTCACCGCCTCCCAGTACCTGCCAAACAAAATCCCAGGGTGGCGTTGGGCCCTGCGCTGTGCGTTGAGAGCAAACCCCGAACCCGGAACCCCGAACCAACCCCCAGCCCTCCCACCATTTACTTCCCCCCCAAAAAACAAGGCGCAAGACATGTGGCAGCGTGAACCTGCAACCTTCCTGGAACCTACCCACCCTCCAAAAATCGGACAACCCACCTCGGCGGGTTCAAACCCGGGAGTAAGGCCCCATAGCCGCACCCAGAAACGCGCTGGGCGCTCTCTCGCTCCCCTCCCGGCCCTGACCGCCCACGCCCGCCCACGCCCGCCCACGCCCGCCTGACCGCCCGACCGCCCCACGCCGCCCCACGCGCCTGTTCCAGGCCAGCTGCGTCCGGAAGACGATGGCGAAGGTCACCCCCGCGCCCAGGGCCTGGAAGCCGTAGTGGTGCTGGATCTCCGGGGCATACCTTCAGCGTCAAACGCGCTGAGAGATTGCGCCGAATCGGTGGAATCCAATGGGGTGGTCACCAACTCGCTTCCCTCTGATGGGCGGTTTGTGGGTTGGTGGTTTGGTGGTGTGGTGGTGTTTCGGAGGGTTCCACCCCTTCACCATCTGCAAGAACCAGGGAATCGGAGTAACTAAGGATTACGAATCCAAGCCACCAATCCAAACCACCAACTAAGGGTTTCTCAATGAGTTACCTGATTTCCTCACCCCAGACCGCCTAAAACAAACTGGCCAGGCCGGCTTACATATTTCATATCCCCATTAGACACCAAAGAGGATTGCCCGGGCCAATAAGGGGCTGTACCCTCGTTTGCCCATAATTTAACTTGGCACCAAGCTGAACATAGAAGTTCAACGTTACTCACTCCAAACCAAAGGAGCAAAAACAAACGCAAACGTTGACCTCCAAAACATGAAATAAAACATCCTAAATAACGATCTATACTTGTAGCCTGCATGTTGCAGAATGTCTTGGATCCATAGAAAGATCAATCAGGAGTTTGAACTCAAGTATGTTCATAGTTATATTGAAGAACAACGTGGCTTTATATTGATCGCTTCACTCTTGGTCAGTGAGATTCCTCTGGGTGTATGCTTTTCATGCACTGTCCCAAAGCCTGAGATGAACCCCATGGACCCCAGAGAAAAACAAACCTCCTTGCTCGCTCGCTCCTGCCCAGACTTGCAAAACACAACTTCAGACAGGGCGGACTGAAAGTTGACACCGCTTGCCTGAAGCAGCAGCTGCCTTTTTTTTTGGGGCTAGCCTGCTAGAGACATGTGCGCCCAGCCCGTCCCACAAACCTCCAAGCAAATGGGCCATGTTTGAGCAAGTGTTTTCACACCCACTGTTCTGACAACCTTATTCAGGAAGTCCCTTTCAAGCGGGGCGCACCAGTTGCGCGAACACATTTCTCCCAATTTCACCTAGCCCCAACAGGCCCCCCAACATTTCTCCCCCCCAACCCCAACCAACCCCCGAGACTTGCGCTTCCGGGCAGCTCCCAGCCGTGGTCTCGGGAGTATTGCACCAGCGCCCCCAAGCCCGCCACGATCAGACCCCCCAGCACCGAGTCGTAGCGGTAGAAGACGCTGCCCCGCCGCTCCAGGTACAGGAGTCCTAGACAGCTCCTCGGACCATTCTCGGGAACCCGGGGAAATGAAGTCCCCACCCTACCCCCCCAACCCAACCCAGCGCTCGCCCCTTGCAATACCAACCTGGGCGGTCCGTAAACTCAGAAGTTGGTTTTACCTTGTGGGCCAACCAAGAACAATTGAAAACCCAATGGGAAACCCCCAAGCAACATGGGTCCTTCCCATCACTTGTTGAGTCGAAGGGGGTTGGAACCAACGACTTCCCACAACCATGCCTCAGACGCGGAGTTTCGCCCCAGGGCCCCAGTTTTGGACCTCTGCAACTTTTCAAGGGGAAAGTCAGTCACCGATTGAAACAGGGAGACTGAAATTTCTTGGGAGGCTAGCTGGCTAGCTATTTGCTGAAGCAAGAACCTTTGAGACCACTCTTGACCACCCAGACTTTCGGTTCCCCTGAGCGCAGGATTTGGCCTTTGCTTGAATAAATGTTTGCCGGAGTCGGGGCCGGGGCACTGACAAGTAACACCATCTCATGTCTTCCAAACACAGATGTTGGGCAGTCAAGCGCGGCTAAATCGTTCAATTGACCCAAGAAGAAAGAAGCAGATACCACTTGGGCATTCCTGCAGACACTTGCGTTTCAGATGCCCCGCCCAGGATGTTTCAAATAAACACACGGCTAAACCATTCTGGAAACGACTCTGGAAACGACGGTTATTGCTCTATTTGACCATCGGCGAAAAGAGCAACAAAACCCTCACGTCCCGAGCGCATTGTCCGGGCCTGTTGCACGCAGCCGTCTGACCCCATTTTCTAGGACAAAACCTTTTGCAGAGTCATTCCTTTAGGAGGTTCATGCCACTCACGGATTGATGGCAATTCTTGCCGACGGCACAGCCCGTTCCGCGTTTGAAGCTAGGCACTTGTTGTAATAGAGCAGCATCACGGGCCGCGCATGGCACGCGCCCGCAAGACCCGCAAGACCCGCCGGACGGGGCAGGTCCCGGGTCCGGGACTCGAGTCCGGGCCCGAAGTTTGCTCGGGCGGAATGGGATGTTTGCGGAGATGCTTCCCTCGTAAATCCCAGCAACTCTACATCTTGGCGTTGGCTGAAGGGTTCGCGCATCGAGAAAAAAAGAAGGAGAAGAAAAACATGAGTCCCGCTCTCGGTGCTTTTATGCACCCCGGTGTGTTGATTGAAGGGTCTACTGTACGGGGCGTTGGCTTTGCTTTGCAAGCACCGCAGCTTGAGCCGAAGATCGCCCAAGGCAGGTAACTTGGGAAGGGGGTGGTGTTTGGGTTGAAGTAACATATGTAACCATACCCACGTTACCCAATACTGCCCGGACATGCCCTTTTGGGGGACCCACGTTTTGGTTCAATGCTGCCCTCCCCGCAACGATCATCAAAGCTTACAGGAGGGTGTTGGAGCACTACTCTCGGGGAAGCGTAACCTCTCCATTTCCACGCTTGGAAGGCGGGGAATTTGCCGGTACACTTCATGTGCTCCCCCATCAGCACTGCCCCCTCCCCTACGGGCCCCTGCCGACCCCCCCCCCCCCCCCAAATCTGCCCAGCGGCCAGGCGCGGGGCAAGGACTCCTCAGCGGCGTCCGAGTCGCAGCTCGAATAGGAATCGCTACAACCTTGCCATTACAAACCAAAAACGAATCCTAAGTGAGTGGCCATGAATGTTTTTGTTTTTTTGGTTTGACTCGGCCCCAGTACAAGGGGTTATTAGTTGTTCGAACCCTCATGTGTCAGGATGACCCATCCCAACATCATCCCCATGGCACGTCCGGTTTCTTCCACCCGAGGCCTTGGATCGAGTCACTCGCCCAGCGAAAAGAGCGAAAACCGTTGACGGAAGCCTCGGTGTTGACGCCCTCTCTTGGAGCTTGGCATAGCTCCCAAGGGAACCACTGGTGGGGCGCCGAGACTTTGCGAACATCTTCCAGACGCACAAAAACAAACAGCCTCGAATCAGTTGTCCCTGTTAAAAATGAATGTCTTGCGGTGGGCCTGTCTCAGATTCCACGATTCTTGGGAGGCTGGCCTGTGAAACCCTGAATCCCTGGCCCCATTGCTCCCGCTCAGTGGGTGGTGTTGGGAGGGCTTTGGTTTTCCCGATGCCCTCCCCCGCCCCCAATCCCTTGCTCCTGCTCTTGGTCCGTGATGGTGGTGGACTCCCTGCTGGCTGACCCGCACCTGCAGGTCGGTAGGTGTCAAGCCAAATCAACCACAAATCCAATCCAAGCCGACCCAACCGACCGACCGACCGACCAACCAACCAACCATAACCAACCAACCAAGCCAAGCCAACCCAACCCAACCGACCAACCAACCGACCAACCAACCGACCAACCAACCGACCAACCAACCGACCAACCAAGAAACCGACCGACCGACCGAACCAGCGACAAGCTCAGCGCAGCCTTGGCGAGGACGAGGGCGAGAAGAAGGGCGAGGCACTGGGCGTTGGAGACACCGGCGGTATCAGCTTGATATTCCGCCAAGTGCGCCTGAAATGGTCGCCACCACATGTCCCACCATCCGCTCCAGCTCTGCACGCCGATGGAGCCCGAGCTTTAAAGAAAAGTCGGGTTGGTATGACCCTACTTTGCTCAATTTGAGGCGTGGACCGAATCTAAGCCGCAAGAACTCCAAACGCGCAGCACCTTTTGAGTCCAAGTTTGGGTGCCTTGAGAACTTTGCGAGGCTCTAGCTACAGCATGCGAGGCAAACCCGGGCAATCAGCTTCACCCTTGAGGCCCCAACATCTTGCAACCAGCGCCGTGTGAGGATTTGTTTTCACCCTGCAGGTGGTGCAAGATTCTCAAAACGATGCCACCCCCAAAGCGGAACGGTTCATCTTGGTCCCGGGCAAACTGATGGGAATTGTCCCGGATGATTGTTCTACCGCCACCCATCCCAACTTGCCAGTGGCCTGCCAACTCCCTCAATTGAGAAGAGGTAGCTCAGACCCTCTGTCTGGAGGCCTTTAGTTGTCTGCCGCACGATCCTCCAGGATGAAATGTAGAAAGACCACACCGCTCTCAACGACTGTCTTATGTGTTGTGGCTTCTGCTCTTAGGCGTTGCTTGGGTGGGACTTTGCCTTGGGACTTGCCCTTCGCCAAGCTGCTGGTAGGTGAAGCGCGCCGCCTCGGCACCCGAAAGACCCATGGCCCAAAAGCATCCTCCCGAGGCCTCTCGCTGCACCATCCCGCCCGCCTGGCAAAAACAACCCGGCTTGGAGATTCCAGCGGATGGCCGATGTCCCTGCCCAAGCCGCAAATGATGGACCGCAAACATGGCGGGTCTCATTTCCATTTGCGGATGCCCAGCCACACTCACAGACCATGCCGACCTGGCCAGACATGTTGTTGGGCCCCCGGAGGTTCCACGGGCCTTCCCCAGGCCCGTCGGCTCCTTTTCGCAACCTCTTTGCAGAGACCAAGGGCCAGGCCAGACGGTGAAGCATGGGCTTGTCTTCCGACTGGTCCAGGAAGAACCTGAAGCCCCCACTCAAAGGCTCAAAGGCTGCCATGAGCCATGAGCCTTTGTGGCTGTAGGCAAATCTTCTGCCAGCCCCGCATGCAAACGCCAGGGGACTTGTCAGTACCTCTGGAAGGGCTTACCCGTGATTCATTTTTTGCACGGGAGGTGGCATCACACAGCTTTGGAAGAGCCCCACCTTGGTATCACCGAAGTATGAGGCGATACCAAACTTCCTCGAGTGGGGTGGCTACCTGGCTAGTGAGATACTGTGGATGGACGAAATCTTGCACCTAACAAACCCGTGTCTGATGATTCCTCTGTAAATACCAACAAAAAAAGGTTTCAACCATGGTTTCACCACTTTGGACCATGGTTGAAACCATTGTTTGTTGGTATTTACAGGGGAATCATCCGACACCAGGGCTTCCATCTGGTGCGAACGGATTTCGCAACCATCCACAGGACTGGCACTTCCCCCCGCCCCACTGCCCGATTCACGGCGAGCTGCGCTTCCCAGGGGTCCACGTCCACCTCCTCGTCCAGCAGGCGCCGCACCAGGGGCGCGGGCTCCTGGCGGATTTGTTTTAATTTTTTGGCCGAAAAGGCGCCTACCCTCCCACCGACTAACATGGAAGTGCCAGAAAAAAAAACCTCTTCCAAGAAAAAAGTCGTCTTTCTACAGGGGTTTGTGCACCTCCATGTTAGCTGGTGGGAGGGTAGCCAGGGAGCTGGAAACGTGGCTTTGGGTAAGCAAAGCGACTAAAAAGGGGGAGCAAATGCCACCTGTTTGAGGATTCGTGTTCAAGAGGGAACACAAAAGGGCCCTGGAAAACCCTCGCCTCTGCAGAATGTCCAACGTCCGAGGTCCGAGGACCGCCCTGCGCTCGATTCAATCTCCACCAGTGGGATTTGTCAGGCGGCTTCCGGCCGAGAGTCCGCCCATCCTTGCATTCCGAAATCAAGTAATCCCATAATATGTCAGTGGGCAGTTGGCCCATGACAGCTACAAGTGCAAATCTGCATGCTTCCCACGCTCCATGCCAGCCAAGAGCATTCCCAGTCCCCTGCCCTCTTGACTTTTTCAGAGGGGGAGGGCCAAACATCCGCCAGGAACTTTGCGGTGCCGAAGCCCGGGCTTGGACGGGCGAGAAAAAGAAAAAAACAACAACGCGTCCTCGAAGAAGGGGACCAGCTCTGCGGCGCGGAACGGCTCCGGCCTGGCGGGGTTTGGCCCTTTCTGGGCGCCTACCCCAAGTCGCCACTTTTTGCTGGCCACTTTACCCACGAGTAGCCCATAACTTGGTGGAAGTAGCTGGAAAACAAAGGCAGCTGGAGATCTCGGTGGGAAGCCACCAAAACAAAAGGTGGCGAGTTTGTTTTTCTTAAACTTGAATGAGGGGAACGAGAAGAGCTTCGTAACCACGGTCATATCCCACTCACGGCGTGACGTGGCTGTAAGCCCCCTCAGCGGGCTACAGGCATGGGTACTGAATTGCTCAGTACCCTGCCCCTTCAAGCATAATATGTATATATATATATATATTCATATATTTACATACACACATATACAAATACATGCATATATATATATATATGCATTTATCATGTCTTCCCCATGGCTTCCACTGGCCCATCTCTCTCTCTCTCTCTCTCTCTCTCTTAATCGCACGAGCTAAGTTGACCCTTACGACTTGTAGCTTCTCACCCAGCCAGCCTGCGCGGTGACTATCCCGGGCTTCCGGGCGAAAAGGAATCCGAAATGCAAAAGGGCTGGGGTCTGAAAATGACAAAAGCCTGAAACTCAGACAAACCAAACTTCAAAAACAAACTGACGGAGTCATGGGCCTGAGCACGTGGGCTCTTGGTCCCTCGTGTGCAAACATGTCATCACCCTTCCTGTTGATAACCATGAGTGCAAAGTTTCGGGGGTGACCGAAATTAACCTGCAGCACGCAAGAGTCCCAAGCCCGTGTTGCTTCCCTGGCGGCTCCTTGGCAACCCTCCCGCGAAGGAAAAACATGGAAAAACAACAACGACCCAAATTGGTGTGTTGCAGCTGGGCTTTTGAGGCGCACATGCCTTCGCGCGGCAACCAGAGACGGTCACTGGCCTGCGCTGGGCCCCGGGCGTCTTCGATTCCTGTGCGGCCCGCGAGACATGGCGCGCACGAAGAAACCCCCGCGCCACCAGCGGCAGCTGGTGGCGCTGGGGAAAGAGCTCAGCGTTGACCACTTTGGGCGGGGAACCCAGCAACAAACAGTGACTAGGTCCTCCCGTAGAAAGGTTACAATAAGGGTACCCGATGTTTTTTCTGTAGTCCCCCAAAAGAGTGTAAAAGGGCACTGGGGGACCTAGGTGAGGGAGAAAAAAAGGGATGACCAGCCCACCAGTTCGCAATTGGGGTTTCGACGCCGGCACGTGTGATTGAGAGCGCGCCGAGCCTTCTGCTGACATTGCTGCCGCTGCGCCTGCAGAGCTTTACGCCAAGGAATCGGACGCCAGGGCGCCCACAGGGCTCACCTGGCGCCTCCCGTGGTAGATCATTGAGGCCCCCCCCCCTTGAAGGAGCGCATTGCCTGCTCAGTGAAACAAATTTGCCAAGCCCTGCTGCCGGGAGCAAAGAAAGCCATTCGGGTTTGCATGTGCAGTGCGACAAGGGGCGAACACCGGCAATGATTTAAGTCACCATCCAAAGGGCAACATGCTGAGCCCGTGTTTTCGGGCCTGGCTGCGCACGGGAGTTTCGCGCGCTGCCTGGGGCGGTGCCTGTGCACGGCAAGTGCCAAACCCATTTGCGACCAATCAATGCACAAGCGCGATCCAGCGCATAGATGGACAAACCCAACCTCTGCTCCAACCCCAAAAAAGGTAGGCCGAGTGCCTGCAATCACAGGTCTATGCTCGGAATTCTCCGCTTGCATTCAGCGCCTTGCCTTGTCTGGAGATCTCGGTGCTGGCTCTTGGCGCACCTTGGCATGGGGTCAAGGGGCTTGCAGGCCTGACGGTATTGCTGCATTGGGGGTTGGACCCTTTTGAGCCACGGATGGGGGGCCTCCTACCAACTTCCAATGCTCTCAAGGAGAACGATCTTTCTCGCACCCAAGTCGTTCCAACTTGCGCTGGCACAAAACAAAAGGGGCGTTCCGTCAAAGCGACTTGCGGCCGCGAAGGAAGACACCAACACAGCCCACAGCCAGCAGACATCCCAGGCGCTTCCTTTGAAGGCTCCTGAGGCCAGTCCTGCCGCAGAGAGAGCGCCAGGCAGAGATTGCGTCGAAGGGTAGCCATCTAAAATCCGAGGGCCCCCAACGCTCAACCGATCCAGGGAATTTCCTAGCAAAGGTAAAGGCACACCCCAGGCTCCACCCAAGGCCCTCCCATGGCAGTTCGCCTGCTGGATGCCAGGATCTGTAACCACCGCGCTCTCCTGGCAAAACGGCCACACCTCTTGACTTCTGGGAACCCAAACTTCTTGAAACCCGAAATGTTGAGGCTCTCATGAGGCTCTCTCCCGCTCTCTTATGGGGTATACTTCTCCCTTGGGAGCGTTCATTGGCTTCACGTAGCGTTCCAGAGCAGCGCTTCGCCCTTCCAGTGCCAGCCTTGGGAAAGCAAGAGCTAGCAGCTTGCAACCCCGTCGAACGCGGATCCTCCGGCAGGGTCTGCAAGCCAAAAGCGTCCCATGCCACTCCTGGACCAGAAGGCTTTGCACAACTTGCTGGTGCGAATTCGGCAGGGAATGAGTGGGAATGACCCCTATAAACCATCCCTCTTAAAGCTTCCCTTATGACTTTGAGGGAATCCCGGGTTCATTCCCTCATGCATTTCCGAATAAGACAAGTGGATGCGTGCGCTGGTCCGCGCACCTACTCAGGGCCGGTGGTTGGGCTCTTGGGACACGCCAACCATTGCAAGCTGAGCCCATGCTGGTGTCGTGGTTTGCGGTCGGCTTGGCACAAACAACATTCCCAACAAACAACATTCCTGTCTACTCGTCTGTTTGGGCGGTCTTCTCACCCTTTTGCAGGCACCTGTGGTCTGTCCATGTCCTTACCAAATGACAGCTGCAAAGTAGCACAAAATCCCCGAAAAGGGCTCCGGAGAGAAAATCAGGCTAAACATGATTGCTGCAGTTGGTTCCAATTTGGCTTTCTCTGGAAACCAAATAAAGCTGTCCGCAAAAGCTCAATGGTTAGGGGCCCCATGTTTGACCACGAGTCTCAGCATTGGATGCTGCATGACTCCACGGCAAGCCTCAACACAATAGATAGAGATTTTCTTTTCTTGCTGGTGCGATGGGCAGGGAATGAGGGAATGGCCCCTATAAACCATCCCTTGTGGCTTCCTTTCAGGGAATCCCCAGGTTCATTCCCTCATTCCCGTAATTACTGAAGCACCAGCAAGCTTTGTCAACCCCACTGCTTTTGTGATCCAAACCCTTCACGGCTCCTTGTGCCGTGGGAGAATTCGGCGGCGTCGGCGAAGGAGGCAGCTTGCGCAAGACCGACTCAGCCGCCGGGAAGCGCGTGTCCTCAACACGTTGGGGGAGGACCTGCCAGGCGGAACCCGTCCCTTCAAGTGGCGGCGTGTTCGCTGGGGCCTTCGGACCTTGCTGGGCGCTCCCGCCCTTCTGTTGGGAGGCGAGTGTTAGTGCAAGCACGCCCAAGGGCAAGGGTAAGCTGGCAACAAGTGACAAAAGGTGACTAGAATACAAAGCAAGAACCAGAAACCAGGACCGAACCTCGCAAACAATGGAAAACAGGAACGGAACCGTCGGAATCGTTGGAGCAAAGAATAATCCGGATTCTGATCAGGTACGGATGATACAGGAGTCAACAAGGCCTCGCCATCTAGTATTGGCCACCTTCTCCTTGGAGGGGGGCCTTGCAAAAGAACTTGCAATTCATCCAAAGCACGTTCACTTTGAGCAAACTTTGACCGACAAATCTGCCGGCTTCCTTCAGATTTTGCTTCCTTCAGACAGCAAACTTTGAGGCAGCCAAGTCAAGCCAATTAGGTGTGGGCCATGCGGCCCGGGAAGCCGCTTCCTTGCAGGCAACCTAGGCCCAGGAAACATCGGACTCAGCACCCAATCATGTACTATGATTCAACCTGCCCGGAGGCAGGTTGCGAATAGGAGTGGCTTTCTGAAAAAGCAGGGAGGCCGCTTTGCTGCACCTTGGCGCAAGCATACCTGTCCCTTTGAGCCCGCCGACTGTCCAGTCCTCCAGCCATGCGCAGCCCATTGTGCCTCACATAGGACCGCCGAGAAAAGTATCCTCCCGTCTGTGATCCGCAGATTTCCCCCAGAATCCACGCACCCATCCCCAAAGCGAAGAAAACAGAAGTGGACCCTACTGCGCAGAGGTTTTCTGGGCAACTCGGATGGCCGGCCTGCGTCTACCTCGATGCGGGGCGAAGGCTGCAACGAGGAGGACCCCACAGAAGAAGACTCCTATGGCAGGCCACAATATTTCTGGGGGTTGATTCCCCATTCTCTTCGGCCATCGTTCTTTTCAAACACCAGACATTTCCCCGGGTTTTTGGTGGTTTTCTAGAAAGAAGGATCCCTGGAAAGAAGGGGGAAGTTACCCCTAGAATATTGGCAGCGGCGCACTCAAACCAGCAGCTTACCTGGTGGCGCATGCCAAAGCGAGAGGGACCCCCCCTCCTTTCGGCAATCATGGAAGTGGTTTTGGAAGACAACCATCCGCTTGAAAAGGTGTCGTCGACTTCCATGATTGGACAGATGGTAGGGCGGATGCCCTAAGCATTGCAAGTAACAAGAAAAACCCTGTAAATTCCCATGGGGTGTGTGTGTGTGTGTGCGTGTTTTTTACTTGCAATAGCAAGGGCATCCGCCGCCTTGAACCCCGGATCTTGGAAAAGCTCCACGCTCCTCAGGGATGGTGGGCAGCGCAAAGCGTATCAGGCTCCGGCCTCACTGAAAGCCGCACCAACAAAAAGACGAATCCTGCAAAGGGCCGTTCAACCTCTGAAAGAAAGTTCGAGAAAGGGTTGGACAAAGAAGCCTTAAAAACGTCGAACCGGAGGCTGGCCAAGGTCTGGAAGAGCCCTTGCTTGCAGATTGGGTGTGAGTACGGCGCTGGACTTCCTACCTGGAACTCAAGCAGTCCAAAAGGAAACCACAAGGAACCACAATGAACCACCAAACGAATGCCGACGAGTTTGCTGATGGCTCGCGTCCCTTGAAGCCCGCAACACACAGGAAGAGTCACTTTTCTATGGTCGAGCCCATTTGGGTGGTGCTCAAAATTACACAGCAAGGTTACGCAGGTTTTGGTCCATGTTTCCACTTGCCAGAATTTTCCATCTTGGCACCGCTTTGAGCCACAGCCATTTTGGAAGACATCGATACCTCTAAGAAGCTTCCCTCTCGGCCTCCACCAGGCGCAATGAATTCCCAAGCCCTTGGGTGCCATGAACTGCGCTTGGCAGTTGCCAAGCGGTCCACTTCCGGCTCAAAACCGCCAAAAAACCAAATGGGAGTTGATCGAAAGGTCCGTGATACATGGGGGCAAAAAAGATGACTAAATCACCGCAAAAGTTGCCCACGGTCATGTTGGGGCCCTAAATGAATATTGATTAACCTCAAAATCCCCCTCGAGTGGATGCCCAAAAAAAGACTCCAACAAAACAAATCCAACAAGAAGTCCAACTAAAACTGCACCCGGCCCAACAAACTCCCAAAAACCAAATCCCCCAAGTCCTCCACATTCCCCCCAAATCCCCCCCAAATCCCCCCCCAAATCTCCCCCAAATCTCCCAAAAGCCTTTAAGGACGCAGCTGGAGACCCCGCCCCCCCCGAAGCGCGCGCCTAGGCCGGTCTCCTCCGCCGCGCTGATGAGCTGCAGCTGCAGCCGGTGCCGCTGCTGCAGCCGCAAGGTGCGCCTCGAAGGCGCCAGAAGCCCATCGATGGATCGATGGCTGTTTGGGTTGTTGGGCTGTTGCTGGTGGCCTGTCGGGCTGTTGGGACAGAGAGAAAGACAAGCGAGAGAGAGAGAGAGAGAGAAAAAAAAAGAGAGGTTTCTGAAGCCGTGGCTCAGAAAAATGGGTCCCGATTTTTTTTGGAAATTGTCCCAAGTTTTGTTTTGGGAGTTTTTCCTGGATCAACCCAGGCAAAGTCCTAAAGATTAACGGGAACAATCCAAAAAAAAAGCCCTCCTAGAAAAATGGCGCGCCAACGCGGCCCCTGGGGACATGGAAAAGACGCCCTGCGGTTTGCGGTTTGGCTCTTTCATGTTGAGCCACACACTTCTCAAGGGGCTGGTTTTCTTGTAAAGCTGAAGAATGCTGAAGAAAGGGGAGAGGTCAGGAAACTTGCTGGTTCTCAGGAATGACCCCGAGAAAACCCATCCCCCATGGTTTCCTAAGGGAATCCCCTTCCTGTTCATTCCAAACACCATTGTTATCCCCTACTGAACAACCGCAAGCAAAATGGGTCTGTCTGTGTTTACGGACACGCCTTGTTTGGTGGGATTAAAGTAAATCTGAAGGAAACCGAAATCCATGTTTGGGGGGGTTCGCGAAAAAGTACGACACGCCCAAATGAAATGGGCCAACCCTTTTAAGATGGCTTTAAAGAAGAAACGAAGGGAAACAACCTGGAGGCGTCACCAACTTTGACACACCCAAACGAGGCGTCCTAGATTCGGGGGACGACATGCGTTCACCCTAACATGGGGTTTGTTTTGGTTCCTGTTTTTCTTTGCGACCAAGAGGGCAACACAATCGGAACCCACGATTCTAAAGGGTCCAAGAGAACCCTTTTGAAGTGACCTATTTGTAGAAATGGGAGTCAAGGATTTATCAGCCCCTGGCTGATTGATTGGGGTGTTCCCCCACAAAAGTCCATGAATCTCACTGAACTGCCACATCTTGCTATTGGTTAACCAATGGCTCCTTGCGCCAGGGTCAACATCAAGCATGAGCGTGTCTCTCATGAGAAGCTATCACGAGAATTAAGAACTCCTGGCAGCTGCTTGCTCCCTAATTATTCAAAAGCAAACTTGGATACCCCCAGCCCCTTGGCTCCCTTCCAACCACCAGCTAGGAAGAATGGGGGGGGATCCTGTTCTCCCTTGAAAACCGACCAAAAGCAGACAGAACCCTCGCGCACGCCGCGTCGGCCTGCGCGCTCGGGGCGCAAAACACACCATGGCCACCCCGATGGGCCAACAGTTGGCATCCTCAGCGACTGAGTTGGCCAACCCGAGCTTCTGGCGAACCCCTTCCATCCAGCCAGTCGCTGGTGGCTCCCGGTGGCGAAGAAGAACTAGACAGGGGTCCTTACATTATCCACTATGAAAAAACAAACGGTACTGTCCTCTTGGTGTGGTGGAAAAGTCAGGCTTTCAACTACCAAAGTGTATCTTTTGAAGAGCCCTGCTAAACCATACTGCTAGACAGGTACTCTCGCTCTCTGGCTCTTGTCTCAGTGCAGGCCCTGACCCTAGCCCCAATCACACCAATCCCTGCTCATTCTTCAACTTGGGTGCATAACCAAGCCCATTGCACCCCTCCAAACGCTTTGAGGGGAAAATCGCACACATGCCCCTGGCTTCGACATCCAGCCACTTGCCGCCAGCCAAGCCCCAGCCAAATCGCCGCATGCCGGCAAGCAGCGATCCAGTCCAACAGGTGCCTAGTCCTG